CAAAGTAACACTGTTCCCTCTGCCTTTTGCTACCCAGGGTGGCTCATGCCAAGCAGGCTTTTGGCACAGCTGGCACACAGCCTCCAGCCTGGGCACAAGGCTGGGAGGGAGCAGGGCCACAGCAGCAGCAGCACACAGCTGCCAGTGGACAGAAGACCATGGTCCTACCTCAGCACTGGAGCAGGGCATCCCAGAGTGAAAACTTAATTAATTATAACACTAAGCACTGCTTTGATGCCTTTACATTTACAAAGCACTGGGTAAACACTAACTAATTCATCTACTCTACTTAGCAATTATATAGTTCTTTATATTTTCCAGGTCCTGTGCAAACATTAGCTAATTAATCCACTCAATTATTTCCATGTTTTGTATTCCAGAGCACTGCACACTGGCAGCATGAAGAGGAAGCCTTAGCAGGGGTAGTGTAGCAAGCACACTCAGCTTTTAGGTGCCTGACACATTTTGGGGAGATGTATTGAGAAGGTGACAGCAGTCCAGGACAGTCCTTCCACCACAGCATGCCAACAAAAGTAGACAAGTCAAAACTAAAGAAATGTGAAGCATTTTCCATCAGAAAGATCCTAAAAGAACTGAGTCTGCCAATCACACCCTCTCCAAACAAGGATTAATGTGCACCCCCTCATGCAGAGCCACAGCTCTTGGTTTATTGCATTTTAACATTGTCAACAATGGTTGCTGCGGTACTTGCTGTGCTCTGCTGACCTCCACTGTTTGGGATGGCATGTGAATTGATTGCAGTTGAAAGATTCTTACTGGAATAAAATGAGCTTTTCAATTATTGCTATCCAAATAAATCCCTGTGTTCCAGTGATCTCCACCAGGAAGCACTTCCAAAACCCAATGACATGGGGTTTCATGACAACAGGTATCTCCAGCTCACAAAATAAAGGTAACTGTGTTGTCATCACTGTTGAGGTACAGGACAGGGGAGGTCAGGTGATGCTCTTTACGACACAGGGAAGGCAGGCTGTGGGGGTAGTGTAGGGCTTAGTGGTGTGTCTGATGAATAAATGATAAACTCTCTATCAAAGCAAGCTGCGGTCATTTTTTATACCTTTTGTCAAACACAGTGCAGGAGATATGCAGGAAGTATTAACAGGATGATGAACAGGTGAACTAGATGAACCAGCCTTTCCTTGGATGTCTTACAGTAACCGAGGAGCTAGTTGCTTCTTTACTGTGCTTCTCTATAGCACTGCCACAAAGGCACGTATGCAAAATCATAAAAGAATATAATTTGGCCAGAAGAAAACATTTTTTTTCTCTGAAGAAAGGGGTGTCTAATACAAATGAACTCCAAATATCCAGAATTATCCTGAAGAGGCACATTTGCTTCTGGTGAAACATGTCCTGTACTGCAACAGAGGCACTTTTTTATTTCTTTCATTAGTTGTGGAGAGTACACACACACTCTGAATATACACACCAACAGAGCATTGCAGTGGCAATATGTACAATCAAACAGCATCCTCAGGGGGAAAGGAAAATAGTGAGGTTCCCTTTTTAAAGATGTCCTTGGTGTACTCACTGGGAAGTGATCTGAGATCAGAACTCTGCTGCTGGTCTTCCTGAAAGGGATTTCCTTGTTCTTTGTGCATGATGGAGAAAAGCAAGTGCAATATTTTGTGGGTGGTGCCATAAAATTGATTGATAATACTTAAAACGAGGCATCGTGCTGTGACAAAGTGAATGGTAACAACTTGCCACCAGTCTGGTAGTGAAGATGTTGGTGCATGTTCCCCTGGCTATGAGAAGTTTCCAGGAGAATAAAGAAGAGCATCTGTCATGATAGAAGAGACAATGTTTGGACAGCAATTTGCAAAAGTTTCATGTTCCTAAAGTAGATTTCTTTGCTTAGAAGTAACCAGCACTTTTCAGAGGTCAATTTCTCTTTAGCTAGTATATCTAAGAAAAACCTTCTAAACACACCATCACATAACTCATACAACACACACATCCCTCATGTGTGGTGCTGTGCTTCCAGGACATTACATCCTCTGAACAGAGGTGCTGTATCTTCTCCCATGTCGTCTTTTATACTTGATCTTGCTCAAGTCAGCCAAAGCACATTTATCTTGCACCAGTTTTGATGATTCTCCCCCCCACATTCTGCCTGCAATGTCTTTTGGAAAGGGAAATGATCAAGGACTCGGTATGCAGATCAGGAGTGGAAGAGCCATTGGCATGAAGGTGAGATGCACCAAATATTGTTTCTTATCACATTTTCTGTGAATTCTTACACAATGTTTCATATTTTGACTACAGGTGTGTATACTGACCAGTTTTCTCAGCTTGACTGCAATAATGCTGCTCTCAATTCAGAATCTGTATGGTACACTGATGATTCAGGTTGATCGTTCCAGTGTGCCTTGTCCTGCATTTGTCAGTGGTGGCTAACACTTCATTTCACTTTGCTCTCAGCTGACACTTCCATGAGGAGAATGGCACACAAACTCCCCGTTGAAGTCTCTACTGCACATGTTTATCCACTACTGGAGGAAGTGGCTTTCTTGAGGTGATCCTCACCAATCATCACCTCTCAGACAGACACTCCAAGAGATGGATACTCAGCAAAGGAAGTAGAGTATGTGTCTTGCAATTCAAATGTGATCCCATTTTCAGATGGTCTGCACCAGCCTGGATCACTGAATCACTTTCTCCTGTGTTTCAGATTGTTCTGCTGTAGATGAGGTCACCACCCACCAGCTGCTGCACAAAGTGCTGCACTGTTGCTGCTTCTTTCTGAGCAGGGTCTTCTGTGATGAAGGGCTCCTCCCTCCTTGAAAACAATTGTGGAGTGGGGAGCAGACCCCTAAGCACCCTAAGGTTGACATCTATGGGTTACTACATCAAGCATCCAATGTAGACCATAACTCATGTGTTATATCTTCATGCAACAGGAAAATATTTGTTATAGTCCTGTTCTCACCTGAAGCCTGTCAGCATGCATGCCCCTTTCTCCCAAAGCCTGCCAAAGAGGGCTGGCCCTCTCTCCCTGCAGTTACAGATGGCGGTGCCAGCCAGCTCCATCACCACAGTGTGCCATCCTGTCCTGGCAGCCTGTGACTGCTCAGTTGGAAGCAGGGAGATTTTCATGATCCACCATAGCCCCTTGGTAATATCAAATCAGACAGAGGCAAGCAAGAGGCACACTCTTTCCCAAGGTTTCCTGAGTCTTCTGTTGCAGACAGATACAGCTTGAGATTTGAAGAGTGCCACATGTCCTCTGCAATAAGCAGCACCAGCATGAGCAACAGCTGTGACAGGTTTCTGCCACAGCAGAAAACAACTACATGGTCCAAGGGACAAAGGCCAGAAGCTGGGATGCAGCACCTGCCAAGGACCAATGATCACACAGCCTGATTTCAGCATCACTCCACTGCTGAATCAGCCACACCACCCCAGCCTGCTTGGACCAGCACCCTACACACCTACGCAGTCCTGCAGCCCTGCTGCTGGCTCAGGCCACGAGCCCAGGCTTAAATCTAGGCTCAGCATCTGCTTCTTGCCCTCTGCTCTTGGGCCATCCTCTCTGCACATGCCAGGTGGAAAGGAAAGCAAGGCTGAGAATCTGGACAAGAGATAAGGAAGCCATGGTGCTGTGCCTGCTGCTCTTGGGGGAGTAAGGGGTGAATCATAACTTTATCAGCCTACAAGGAAAAGAAGCAATTATCTGGCAATTGTATGAAGTCCATTTCAGTGAGAGGCTCATAACCTAACCAGCCCTTGCAGTCAGGGGGAATAAAATATATGCTGACATCAGTATACAGAGATTCCCATTGGAAGCCACTTTCACTGCAGTGTTGTGAATCTTTTCAGAGGCAGCTTGAAAAGATTCACTCAGTGTATCAATCTTCCTGGGGAGCAGAGCTGACGATGGTTGTACATAATAATGCTTAAGCCAATTCACATGCACTGTTAGTGTCTGTCTACAAGTCCTGGCCCTAATCAGTGCATTAAATATAAACATATAAATAATAACTCTGAAACACCCTCTTCAGGGGCAGTGAAATCTTCTGCCTTGGCCACTCTCAGCTCCTCAAGCTTCCTCTATAGTGGCACAATCTCCCCTTGACTCCAAGAGGGAGAATGGAAAACCATAACTCTTCTTTTTGTTCAGGTGACATATTTTTTATGAGCCAGATTCTTTACTTTCGGTTTTGATGGTGATTCTGTGACTTTATGTTTGCCCTGTAATCACAACGCTCCTCTGAAGCAGGAGCAGAGCCCATAACTGCTACTGCCTTAACCAGCTTGTGCTGGAGGGGAAGAAGCTGCCCCACTGCAGCCCCCTGAAACAACCCATTGCTGGGGTACCATGGGTGCCCAGCTTTCCACCACGACAGCTTCCCTCTGGCAGCCAGCCAGCCTGGACAGGCGGACCTGCACTCTCCTGGCATGAGGAGCCCAGGAGCTGTAAGCCAAACAGCAGCTAATGGAGCAGGTGACTCGGAGCTCTCTGGATCAGGACCTCCCAAGCAGTCAGGATTTCTTGAGCAGTATTTGTATTGCCATACCTGTTATCACACATACCCCTTGGGGGTGACACCTTGGCAAGGATGGAATAACCTTAAATGCCACATCTTCTGCAGAAAGTATGTGATAAATCCTTACCAGACACCCATGTGCTGCAATACTGCTGGCGCCACTCACTCCATGTGCAGGAAAATCCCTCTAGAAGCAGCATAATGCTGTTGCAGACTTTCCCATGTAATAGAGTCAGTGTGTCTTTTTCTTTCTTTTTGATTCTTGTCGGGTTTTTTAACAGGTAGTAAACCACCTTAAAACTTCCCCTTTCATCATTACACAAACAAAATCTGACCATTAATCCCCTGTTTATCCCCTGTGCATGTACACCTCTGGTTACTGCAGCTGTGGGAGTCTCCCATTTACTGAATTAAATAAACAGGCACCTAGTTTTTGCTGCCAGAGGAATGTGACATTTGAGAGAGAACACAGTATTCCCCCTTCCTTACCTTGGTGTCTGCTTTGCTGCTGGCTCACAGGTATGCCCTGCACTTGGGCCACTGAGGAGGCAATGCAGGTCACTCCAGAGGAGGCAGCCCCTGAGCATGCTGTGAGCTCAACTAGGGGGATGCTGCCATCACTTGTTAAACTTGTCAGGTTTGTAGGAATGAAGTGTCATCCTAGACCAAAGTCTTGTGAGTGACTTTCTGTGAAGAAAGGGGATAGAAAAGAAAGCATCTTACAAAGCAGATTATAGCTACCTTCACCTTCCCCACCTCTGTATGACTGAGGTGCAGCTCCTGATATATTGGCTGTGCCCTGACTGTGTGGGCAGCAGCTCTGAGCTGGTAGCCTCTGTGCCATCCTCCATAAGACACTGAGGGTAGGACAGCCCAGATGGGGTGTCTAGGCCAGGCTAAGTCCAAATCCAGTGTTAAGAGTCCTCTCTGTATGTTGTTTTCTATAGCAGCTGAATCACAGATGCTGCTTCATCAAGCTTGAGATTCATCAGCCATTGCTAGTGTTTCACACAGTAACAAAAAAATATTTTAAAGAAAATGGGCATCAGAAGAAAGCAAGCACACTGGCTTCTGGGTCTGCCATCCCCCACTGAAGCCTGGCAGCCTGCCTGCTGCCAGGCCTGACAGGTAGGCAGAGGTGGGAAAACCCCTTATGGCTCTTTTTATTGTGATAGCCCTATATGAAGCTGCAAACATATCTGTCACCTTCCAGCACATTGTTTACCAGCTCTCCTCAACATTCCCCAAACAATATTTTCTAGAGACTGTAATTCAATACTCACACCCCAGAGCTGTAGCATCAGCCCAGAGAGCAGCATGATGAATGTATTGTGTTCCTCCAGAGCTTGGGCTTGGGAACTGGTTTGTGCTGTTCCAGCTGTTAATTATCCCTCTGCTTTTTGCTATTCTCATCCCACCTGTGCCTCTGTATTTATCATGTGGGTCTACATGCACTAAAAACATCCTTACTCTTTAAAGTATAAGGAGTAATTTATCCCTTTTGTGCAGCACAAGGCAGCTCAGGGGACCAAATGGCAAGACTTGATCAATAAGGTGCTCACTAGATTAGAGGCACTGGGGCTCAGACCTCAAAGTGCTTGTTTAGAAGAAATGCAAGAGAATGAACTAAGAATGTTAAGCACAGACACAAATACAATTTCCACCACTCTCCCTTCCCCATCCTTTCACCAGCCTGCATCCCAGAGGCCTCCTCCCACTAACCACTGCTGAGAACAGCCTCCAGAGCCAGGCCAGCCCAGGTCAGGCTGCTCAATGGGAAGAGCTGCTCCTGGCCTCTCAGGCATGGCAGCGCTGTCTCTGCAAGCAGCCAGTGCACTGGAGGAGCACCCACGTTGCTGGGACGCAGCACACCAGCCTCCATCTGTTCAGCCCCCGGCACCCGCTCCGCACAGAGCACTGCTCTCGGCTGTTGTTACCTGGGCTCACCCAGCGAGCTGCAGCTGCTCCCCAGAACACTCCAGAGTCCCACCATGGTTCACTCACTCCTTCAAACCTTTAGTTAGTGTGGAGTATAAATGTTGAAGGCTGCACACATTCATGCTCATAGCATGTGATCCAGAGGACCAACCAGTAAAAGTGACAGGTAACTCAGAGGCGCCAACACCTGTCCTTCCTGTGTTTCTAGAGAGCATATCTTAGACCTTTGTCCACACTGTTCTGCACCTTCCCTTTCTTACCACTCCAGTACTGCTGCAGGTCTTTCTCACATCTCTGCTGAAGTCTTGTTCTCTGCTTATAATGACAGCTTGGATTTCTTAGGAAACCTGCAGCCTTATGAAACAGCCATGATGTACCCAACTCAGAATCCCTGGCAGGATTGCTGTCCTGCTTTCCACCAGTGGCCAAGAGGCTTCCTCCCACTGAGGCACCACACATCTCACTCCTTACAAAGGTGAGGGGTAGTTGCTGACCACAAGGACACTTTGGTTCCAAGGACCTCATACAGATAATTAAGACAGGTAATTAAGACCCATGCTGCCATTTCTTGCACTGGGAACTGCTGATATTTAACGACATTTCCAAAATATTTTTAATAGAAATTTCAGGTCTTGTTTCTAGTATGACATTTATCTTCTATTAGCATGAAAACAAATAGAAAAGTCTGAAAATCATTGCCTATATTATAAATTACTTTATTGTTGGTTTTATTACCTTCTCCATTAAGCTGTCATAATCTGTGCTTCCTCCCATTTTTGTGATGGCCAGCCACTGAAATCCATCGTGTTTTCCCTGTGATTTATACAGGACCCTAGTGATAACTTTATTCACCACGAGGATAATTATCAGCTATATTATTAAGGCTGCTCAGTTGCCCTAGGGGATAATGTGTCACAAAGGTTAAAATATTGACAAGCAATAAAGTATGTATTATAATTACACCAGTGCTGGGATAGATAACTGGCTGTGAGCACGGAACTGACCTACATCTTTGCAGCCTTCTCCCAGGAAAGACAGCAATGCTGTGGTCACACTGAACACATCCCTACAGGACTGCAGCAGTCTTGGCCCATCACCGGGAGGGGACCCCAACAAAGGCAGTGCCCCAACCCATCCACATGGACCCCACAAAGGGCATGCTCCTCATTCACATATATTGACCATTTAAGCCCTGACAACTGTGCCCTCAGTGAGTTTCTTTATGATTCATAATTGAACAGCATGCGTAGCTGAAGTAGAAGAGGGTTTTCCACAATCCTTCTATATTTCTTCCCATGTCCCTTAAAAAAGCTTTTCTTCATAAGAATGGCAGAAGGAGGGAGAGGAAAGAACTGGCATCTTTGAAATGAAACATTGATTTCTTCTGGAACTGGAGCAACCAGGTGCATGCCTTATTGGTATCATGGTATATAGGTATAATCTGAAGGATGTTACTGAGATAAATTGCTTTTTGGTTCAGGCACTAACAAAACGAAGCACTGAATAACTTGGCACTGCATCTGAAGTGAGACCATAAAAGTAACCTTGGTCATTCCTCCAGATCTACTATTGTTACATCAAGAAGACTAGACCAGGGATGGAGGAGCTCATAAATAATTTCTCATGGAAAGCACGTACAACACCCAGACAAAATCTCTCTCTGAGAAAATGTGGAAAAGTAGTAGACTTAACCTACTTCAAAATGTCATTTTTTGAAGAAAGAAAAAGCCAATCCACGTCTCTTTCTTGATGCTTAAAGGATGTGTCTGTACCACAGCAGCATGTTAAGCACCAAGCCCTAGACCTGGCTTTTAGCAGCTGAAAGAGCTTTGCTGCATCAAATTCTGCCACTTTCCTCCAATATAATCATATTGGAAATAGATGGTCACCTATTATGGGTAAACATGACTGAACAAGAACTGTAAGACATTTAATAAACTACATTGCTTTACTTTCTTCTGCTAAGGAAGTGCCAAGGACTACAGAAACTGTATTTACCTCAGGTTCATCTACATCTCACTGGATTTGTCCAGGGGAACATAAGTAGTATAGAGGACTGTGGTCCTAGAGATGAGGGTCAGAGCTCTAGCCCAGCCAGCCTGAGACACCCTGCAGCATTTCTCTGGAATATGGGCTCATGCTACCCTTTCACTGCCCCTTTGAATGAGTCACGGATGCTGGAGAATTAGAGGTAATTCAACAAAATATAATTTCTCTGTTCACCACAAGTACAAAAGTTAGAGCTTTTGGCTTTCTTTGATACAGAACCAAGAAGCCTGGTGCTATAGATGCTGCTTTGTGCTCATGAGCAACAGCTTTTCAACCTGAGAGGTGATGACACAGCCCTGGACCAATAAGCAGATTCGAGAGCCCTACAGTAATTACAAATCATGCCAAAAAATAGCTATAGGGAGCCCACAATGCACTCCAGCTCCCCTCTGCAGACGCCCTGGAGTCCCACAGGAGATGCTTAATGCAGTTCTGGTGGAGAAGCTCCTTGGGTACTCAGAACCGCATCTGTCTCCAAGCTTAACATTTACCCTAGTGCTGGACAACTTATTTCTGCAGCACACTGCTCAGGGCTTCAAATGAAAAGACCTCTGCAAGGGTGACTGGGGAGCTTGCCTTCCTGCCTGATCACCAGGTTTTTCCTCCTCCATCCAAGGAGTTGTCTGGCACTCAGGAAAGTATCAGAGCCAAGCCTGACTTGACTTAAGGACCTACCCGTGTCATCCCCAATGCCATCTCCAGCACAAATGCACCAAAGTCCTCAGAGCATGCCATCTGCTGCCCGTGCAAGGGGGTTTCCACAAAGAAGCATCACTGCAGTCAGTGCTCCCCTCACACAAGAAGGAAGGCTGAACCCCCCAGAAAGGTTCCTTTTCTCTGAAAATTTGTTGTTGACTTCCCTGATGACCCCCACACCATGCACTGCAGGAGGTATTAAAACATGGACGGATAACCACGAGTCTCCTCAGATGACAACTTTGTGGGACTGATTTAGAATGCCTGGTTCAGCCTGGCCACAGCTGGTACTGCCCAACACCCTGTGACAGGATGAGGGAGACATGAGCAGCACAAGCTGCAACAGGAGCTCATTTGGTCCACAGGCACCTTGGGAACTGAACATGTTTTACAGTGTCACATCAGCACACGAGGAACAGATGACATAAATGGAGGTGAATTAAAACCTACGTCTCATGAGGGCAAATGGCTGTGTATGCAGCATCTGCTCAGCCTGCAGCTTCAAAGCAGCAGAAATTTTAAGTACTACCATTTACAAAAGGTTCATCTTCACCTTTTGTTTGACCATAAATCTCTGAAGCTCACCTTGTTAAGGAAAAGTGTGGAACAGCAGGAGTCTTGTACCTCTGCCACACCTCCCCCAGTGCGTTCCTCTCTGATGCATTACAGATCATCTCTAGGAGAGATACATCTGCATTGCAAAGCATGACTACTCCTTTCAATAACAGACATGTCCACCACACGCCTGACAGCAAGAGACAGAGTATTTCATTTGCAGTCACCTGCTCCCACCACCAGCCCAGCCTGCTCTGGGCAGCAACCCGAGGAGGGGTTTCCTAGGTGTGCCACAAGGAGCAAGAGCACTGGGCTATTTGGTAGGAGTTTCCCTGTGCTTGCCTTTGGCCCATTATTGGAACGTCCAGACAAAATCACAGAGAGGGGCTGGTGTCAGCCTGGGGAAGGCACAGGTAGATGGTCACTATATCTTCTCTCCTACCAGAAGC